TACTGGAACATTGTGCAACAACAGCAACAGTGAAGGAAATTGTGATTGATTCAGGAAACCAAAGCCGGTCACAAAGAATACAATATTTTTAAAAGCCTGTTACTCTTGTTAGTGAATAAAAAAATGCACAACTTTCAGGAACGGGTAGATCTGGAAGATTTTTTGGCCAATGTGAATAATCAAGATGAATAAGAGGCAACGGGTGACAGACTGCAGAGAGTACGCTGTGGGAAAACGAAAAATGTATTTTGCTATTGCAGATTACTTTCCTGAACACCGGAAGGATTAAATCCTGTAGTCCAAAGAGAATCTACGTGGAGACATGTTATTCCATTAAATTAGGCGACTAACTCGAGGATCACTTAAAGTGTTCGATAACTGGTCTTTATTGGGTTGATCAATGGATAATTATTCGAGTTTGAATAAAAGTATCATTTCAGATGACATTAGTGATTTGTGAAGAAAAATAGGGAGGTTCGAATCACTAATCGTCGCTTACTGATACCACGCAGAAGAACGATTTGTTTGTCGTTTAACTGTTTGAGCACCTAATCATCGATTTGTTCGGCGGGATATCTCCACCACACCCTAAAATATGGTTTCTGTAGGACCTACAGACACCAGGATCTCTTGCAATATCATAATAAATCTTACTAAATAGATCAGTGTTTCTCTGGAATTAATACACTGAATCAAGCATATTACTTCACCTGGTCATCACAGAAAGATGTACTGAGCCGACTGATGGTACAGGTTTGATATAGGGATCGGACTGAAGCAGCAAAATAAGTATATGGTATACGCTAACTGAATTACCGTCGTGACAAATTAGCTTGTCCTTTTATCCCCCCCCCCCTCTCGAATTAAAAGCATAGAGACAAACGTGGCAACTATTTTTAATACAGGCGGGGAATGCTGCCACATATAAACAACCCGTCCCTGCATTCCCTAAAAATGACTATGGGAAGAAAATTAATAAAAAACTACGGCTAACCGATTTGACATTAAACAGTTAAATACCAATCTTTTCGCTTATGTAAGTGCACTCCTGTGTGTGATTTGATCTGAGACAGCGTCGGACGCAGCGGTTCACATGAGAATTTACCACCATTTCTCCGCAGAAAGCTTTTCTCATTCGGTAAGTATTCCGATAAACTTCGAGAGTCTAATTACATTTTCTATATAAACAAAAGGCAGGAGGAAAGTGTGCCAATGAATTGAATATAACCTATCTATATTGTATTAATTCCGTCACGTCACTGATCGAAGTACAGCGATTTGCTATGAGGACTCTGGCGAGAATTGAGAGAAGTAAAGCGGATGTGCAAAAAGGGCTATTTGCTCAATACATTGAATTGATTCTAGACAGACAAATATAGAAACGCGGCAGCAACAAAACCACATCAGTAACACGGTCTGATTACAATATGAAGTGATTACAGAACCAACTTATTTTGTTTTACCTGTTTCGTCGTTAGCCCGGTTCAACGACTGGGCTAAAATCAAACCAGTCATAAGGAATAATAAATGAACGCACTTCCGGTGCAGAAAAATGCAAATCCAATCAGGCATACGTTTCCACCAGAAAGGAGACGAACAAAAGGACTTTGAGGAAAGCAGGCGCACGAGAGAACACTTTTATTGACCGGTTAGAGAAAAAGGAAGTGAGATCCTGATGTGATTGAACGTATTCAATCGATAGGTTTCGATTGTTTTTCGTATTGAACACCTATATTTGGAACACGAACGTCCGTTCTTTTGACAGATTTTGGAGAAAAATCGAATAAACAATGAATTTCAACACCGCAATGGACTGCGTGAAAACTCGAAGTAAGAAACATTGTTTAAAAACAACTAAAGTCAAATAAACAACAACCCATGGAAACGCGAGGAGCTGAAACAGCGGAACGCGAAATAAACAAATACGCACAATGGAATATGTGGAAAGGCAAGATACTGCATCAAGGATAGCTCAAAATTGATTTGACAACACTGAATGATTTCACCAGAGTATAAATTATCGAACTAGAAAGTTCATCATGAGGGAAAAGAAATGGACAGATAAGAAAAAGGGTTTTCCAAACGGATGCCTGAAACTCGATCTATAGGTCCAAAACGACTTATATGTCCCGGAACTCCGGAAAGCCTCTACACCTCAGGCCTCGGTTCAATCATCCTTTGTCATCTTCTACACACAATCTGCACGGGAATCATCGCACGTCGAGGAAGCCCGTTTGGTGGAATGCGTGATCACGTCCCAGTTTTCAAAATCGATGAAGATGGAACACCTGCTTCGGTGCATGAATTCAATTAAATAAAACGCTTCGCTTAACAACGTCCAAGCTTTTTCGGTTTCACTACTAGATTCAAGCAGTGCAGCACGGGCATTGACGTTCGAACACCGATAATCTGTTTGTGACCTGTCTCTTTTAGCACCATAACGGAGAACTAAGCAGTGGCGCCATACAGTCGGTCGTTCATGGATAACTGTGTGTCACACTAACCAGGTCCTTTGTATAAGTACCGACGCTTTATCAAACATTCATCTCCAAAAATGTTAGTTACATATTGTAGCGAGAAGGCGAGCAGGCTGGGAAAACGTTTATTGATCGAATTCAAAAACAACCGTTGTACGCATTCAATTATATACATTCAATTCTTAACAGCGCGGCAGGATGATTCATGTCTCTTTCTTGAGGTCAATCGCTGCGGTTTTGGTCCGCACTTGACACGTACGTTGCCTCTTCTTCCGTGTGTCGTTCCGGCTGGTTTGACCCGATCGTAGCGAGAGATACTTCGATCGACCGCTCCGACGTAGTGCCATTCGGTGTATATCTTTCTGGCTAGCTGCGGATTGTCTGTGGCGCTGTAATCGTCGATTCGTTCGTTTCAGGTGGTAGTCAACATTGTCTCTCGAAGTACTTCCAGCAGCTACGTTTGCGCGTCTGGTTGGATGGGCCCCATTCTTGATTCGTTCGCTAGCCGGGGCCCTCTTTGCACCACCTTCCATCACAATATGTCTAACTAACAAAATTTGTCCGCTTTCTCTTGTGTCCCATTTGTAAGAGTAAAAGTGGGACCTGGATCGCATAAATCAAATAACACTATATTTTGAAGGTGCAAAAGCATGTCAAACATTACGACATCCAAACCCAAACCGTCCAGAGAAGCTTGAATCCTTCCCGAATCTCCGCATAGCAGTACGGTGTAGACTACGTATTCCAAATCAACCTGTGTCTGGGGATGAAGAAAAGCCCTATCCTCATACGAGGGCAAGACAGTTTCTAAAGCGTTCATTTCAGAATGGAACAGAAAAGGAACAGGGATAATCTGACGAACATTATCTTTTGTGCTGAGATCAGAATAAAAAGAACCACAAGCTCCCACTCTAGTTGGACTATTCTTATACAAAGACAGTAACAGAGAAACAAACTTCCACGGGACATTTGAAGGAGGGGAAGCACCAGAAATTGTAAGTCTACAGAAGGTACGTCTGTGTTTCAAAATACCAAAGAGGGTGAGAATGTGGTTGATGCAACCTTGACTAGGTGAAAAACCAGCCTGATTCTCAAGCGAGCACCATTAAGGTCCAGCGTACAATTAACGTAGTATAATGTCCGTGGGATGCTTTGGGGTGATGTTGACCAAACTCAAGTTTTGTGGTTATGCGTTAAAACAGGTAAAAACAGCCTTACTATCAGGCTATGCCCTGCGATAAGTATAGGGAATTTGATCAAAACTTGATGAGTATTTATTTCTAAATAGCTTAAGTTTGTGAACGACCAACCTGTTCGCGTCAATGATCACCAACTGTTTTGAGACATTTGCCCACAGAAGTAATTCATAACTTACATTGTCCTCTCGAACATCCATACCATTAGCGATTGATTTTTTTCACACGTGACGTGATCAACTTGCGAAAAGAGAAGCAAAAGTTGTTGCCGCAAATGAATTGCAGCAAGTAAATGTGGGGACTGCGATCACTGCATAAACAAATCTCCAATGTATCTCAATTGTTGTCCCGTGACTTTAGCATATGGTAGCTGTATGTGGAAGACTAGTTAGAGAGTGTCCTAAGGTTTGGTGGGCCGAGGCCATCGTTTAAGTACTGGGTTATCGCCCAAGATTCACTGTCAGTTTTAAGACCATTTTGGGGGTGGTTTACGAATCAGATAACTTACACATATCACACTGAAACATTGCACAATTTAACACCATCGAAACAATTCAAATAACAAAATACCCTAACTAGAGCACGGAACATAAAACAGGAAGAGAATCACTAATAAACCGATTTTTCGCGAAAATCGGTAAGTTAATGAAGAGTACATTCTGAAACCGAGTGGAAAATACTCTCGCCTTTGAAATACAGTCATTTTTTCTATTCCACAGTTGGTGAAAATGCTTCTAATGCTTTTCAGGGCATGCTTTCAAACGACAAAATGAACGGAAACACGGTAGCCAGGGCGAGTAGCCCCGCCATATGATCAGTACGTTTTGATCCATACGTACTTTAGGGCACAAGTCTGTTCTTTACTGCATCGAAAATGGAAAAACAAAGCGAATGCCATTTAAATTGATCACATCGGTCTTATCATCAGGTTGACATCAATCGATCGAGCATCTTATAGACAACTGCTCCATAACCGTATTATGTTAGCGCTCATCTACTGCCCTTTGAGTCGACCAATATTATTACCTATGACGGACAAAATACTGCAGTCACAAGCTGGAAACGGTGGTTCCGCTCAAACAATTCGTAAGACAAAAGAGAAGAGAAAAACCGTAAAATGACAATCTTGGATTAGATCCGTTCTAGTATTTACACAAGGTAACCTGGCAAGAGAAACAGCGGATTGACGGACGCAGTAATGGGAAAATTTTAGACTCACAGTTCGACTGAGTGCATCACAAATGTTAGTGAGGAAATGAACAGCATTGCTTTGTCGAACGATAGAAGTTGGGGTGTCAGGTAACGTAACAGTGACTTGAGCGACAAAATTGGTCTAACAATATGTGAAGTTGCCATGCGATATGTAACAATGGATGACCACAGATTTCGCTCATCTTCTTGACCTTTTGAATGGTTGAACCCCGTTTACTGTAAGAACCATTTTGTGTTGGATAGCGGCCAGTTAGTTCTATCATTGTCAGCATTAGTGCAACTGCAAATGAACTGATGGATATCTGGCGGAATCGGGCGACATAGTGTGCGGTACCAAAGGGCTCTCTGTGACACGGAACGTTGGACTCAAAGCTGCTGCAATTTAGTTCATTAAATATTGGCCTAGGGAAGCAAGTTTTAAGATGCTTTCTTCGGTACCCTCGCGGATGGGGTTGTTCTTAAACCTTCGCCAGCTATGAACATTGACAAATATTATATAAATACCAGAGGAGACCTAATCAAAGGTTGTTTTCCCGCATTTCATTTTTTCGTTCTGGCGAAATTTAATGTGATCATTCAAAAGTCTCTTAGGAATTCGATGATGGATGGATTGATATAACGGATCGTAAATGGACAGTCTTAGGTATTTAGACGATGGCTAGAAACTCCTGAATGATAGAGTACACCGCAATTGAAAGGTAACTGATGAAAGGTTTCAACGAAATGAGCACTAGAAAATCACGAAACGACCCAGTTATCTGTGCGGAACGCGAATAATGCCTTACGAAGAGCCCATGTGACATGGACTGGGAGCAGTTATCTGCGAGGAAAGTGGTTATACGAAGAAAGGAAAGACGGAAATAAAAACGAAGGAATGAATAATACGGCGGTAGAAAATAGACGGTCATTGTTTGATTACAATACTGACGGTCGTCTTCTGCAATTAGGTGCATTTTTTACAGTTTAACAAGATAAACACGCTGTCTCCACTCAATACGTTTCTCGTGACGTCTGCTTTTGCATACATCCGGTGAGAACCANTCAGCAGAGACGTATTCCGGGTTTTGCATTGCCTTTGGTAAGGTCCATGCATCCATAAATTGATGAGACTTTTATGTATGAACTACTCAAAAGGAAATCCGTTTTCCACTGCGAAAATATCTGTGATAGCCCAAATTAATTAGGTAGCATGGTGGCGCCACATACTAACCTTTTTACAAGGCACAATTATTGGTTAATCTCTGGAACAGTTCTTCACACACCGTCATCCAGGAACGCGGAATAGAAATTCTTTAGTACATCTAACGGCTTGTCTACATCTATAACCAAAGGTTGAGGAGCGACCTTGGAAAACGTTTGTTGGTATACGTACCGAGTTGCCTAAAAAGTACACATTTCAGGTTAGTGTGCAATGAAGATGCTTTCGATATTTAACACACTTAACACAAAGTGCTCGAGGAGAAAATTCAGAGGATTTTATGAACGGGTCCACAAGCGAAAGATAACTATGCAATGTTCGAAATGCATCATAACCTTGATAGCACCTGTTGTAATTTGCTAATTCATTCATAAATAATTACTAGACTATCAATGTTCAAACCATTGAACAGCGCAGAACAAATTGTCATGGGTACGAGAACGAACGTCGAACTATAAGAAGCCCTGCGTTTGGAATGCCAACATTTTGTATAAAAAACATCGATAATTCATGAAGAAATCAACTTTGATTGTATTTTTTACCCAGGCCAAATAAATACAGCGGAATCGGAAGGATAAAACGCGTGAAGTTGATCGGTATTCAAATCAGACTCCGAAAGCTTCAATATGGTAGGGGTCGGCTATCTCAGGTTGTAACTGGTCCCTTGTTTCTTTCACTTAGTGAAATGCTCCCCCATACGACCAAGCGTCTCTCAACGCATTAAAGTGGCAGAGGTGCTTCCACACCAAGTGAGAGAGCAAAAGGCTAACACAAGAGGTTATCACCGAGTCGGTAAAACACGGGCAATTCAACAAGGGGAGTTCACCAAGACCCCTGATCCCAAACCAACCAAGAAGAGGCGTACGAACCACTCGCATACACGCATACCTTCGAGGTTGTGGCAGTGGTCACCGACTGCATGGGGGTCGAGGTGTATTGGGTATCCTGAATGTTTGACTTCGTCAAAGGGTGTGTAGTTTTATTCACTGAATATCACCCATCAATGGATTGCGGGTCAGGTTTTGCCTAGTTAAAAGCTTTAGCTGTGAACTCCTCAAGAAAATGCATCTTCATTGGCCTGGGCAACCTAGCAGTATCCCGTCCACTAGGAAATTGTGAACAGTTCTGTTTGTTATAAATATTTGTTTGGCACTCCGTGGAGACTCAGAGGCGTCTGAAATACAACATAATAATTTAACCAAAAATAGCAACACTGAATCCCACGGTAAATTGGTGGCCCAACCCTAATGGAAGTCTGCAGGATACATTCTTTTTAGAACTATTACGTTACCTAGTACGTTCGCAACACAAGGATAGGAAGAAAAAATGCCACGGAAAGAAAACAAAAAGAAATAAAACAGTATGCAAATCAACTGTACCAACTTACTGTCTCAAATCGTTTAAACCAACCAGGATTTTCTGTGGATGATCTGCAGTCCGATAAGGTGGTCGATTGGGATCAGAACGATAAAAATCGTGATCAGCTTCCGGCTCTTGGTTCTAGGAAGAACGAAAAACATGGAGGTAGTATATACAACCAAGAAAAATGATAGCAAAAACTAGAGCATCGATCATCCTAAAAGTAGTTTTGATTGATTGTGAACCAGAAGGATTTCCAATCATGGCACGGGAGTAGATGCAACGAAGCCGTTGCATTTTCGGTGGGCGGTCTGCATTGATCGATCAAAGGTTTAGTTAATGCCCACAGTAGGAATGCAAAAGATTTTGTTCCAGTGATTTCGAAACCTGATTGCAGCCACGACGATTAACTGTGAGGTAAGAAACAACGTAACCTATGGATACGTGAATAGCAGTGATCAACTGTGTAGCGGTCATAGAGAAGCTATGAGCGTGCATGGACCGATAGCAAAATTGATTAACACACAGTTCAAGATTACGAATAAACACTCCGAGGTTAACCGTGAGACAGCCAAGTGAGTAATAAAAGTCTAGTAGTAAGTGCTTTCCGTCAGAACTTTCAGGATAAGCATTCCCAACGAACCCAGTTCGACACGCATTGCGATTAAAAGTCGATCGGTGTCGAAAAAGCTCTTCGACACAAACCCGTTTCAGTTTCATTTAGAACAATCATCAACCCCTAGCGCCGGACTCCTGTTTTAGTTGGTTTCTAGTCAATTATTTGGTCAACTTGTGGCAGTGTATTGAAAACCAGGCGTTTCCTCATGGAAGCTAGTAATCCAGTAGTGAGAATGAAAGTAACAATGGCTTAGTGAGCCAGGTGGTAATCAAGTGTTTCCATACCAAAGCGTTGGGGTTTGTGGGATTAATCACTACTGGTTATGACTGAATGGAGCTATTTCGCAAAGTGGGCTTGGATAAAATTGGCTCGCCAGGAAAAGAGATGAAACTGACCGATGGTAAGCATAGCCAGACGTGCCTATAATCGAAGCGTGCACCAAAAGCTAGTTTGCACAGAGATCACCAGATTCAATTAACGTTGGTATCTACAACAGTAGACATTCGAAAAGAATTTCATCCGAACCACGGCTAAAAATAAAGTGAAAGTGATCCTATTTGTGGTAGGCAGTTTGCCCATTCGCAATCAGTGGAGGTGTCGTGAGCGTTAGACAGAACATCTCGAGGTACGATTTAATTATCCCATCGTGCCCAATTCCCAACTGGATGAAATGGTAGCAACAACGAATCAGAGAGGCCCATATCAGCTAAAACAATGCAGCTGCCTTTCACTCATATGCCCTGATAAATTTAGTCACATGAGCAGAAACTTGTGACAACGTTGTACTATGACTGATCCAAATGCAGCAAAAAAACTTATGCACGACATACGGGATAGTTCAAACGCAAAAGGTGTTATAAATCACTCAAGTCACATCTAAGCTGGAGTGTGTATCACTGAAAAAAGTGTGCCACCGCACAAGAAAACCGAATGAATGGAACGCAAATCAAGAAAGCCGTTTGGGTTTAAAGAATCACAGTTTCCCACTGGTGATGTTAAATAGTCAACCGCGAAAGCAATCCTGAAGTGGTTCTCCCGAACATCGTACCATTCATGATGAGGCAGCTGAGACGGAAAAGTACGTCACCTAATTAAAGATTAGATTTCTCGACCCCTGGATAAATGGTTTATCAATCAATCACTCTCTTTTGGATTTTGTTCTACTGGCCCACGCCATGACTCGTGGTGAATCTGTGTGTATGTATAGTATGACCAGCATGCTTACGGATCTATGACACGTAGAGTGGGATGGAAAAAGACAAAAGAACACGTGCTACTGTAAACGCATGACAATGTATGATCACATTTTCCAAAACTGAACCGTGATGCCATTGAGCTCTTCCACTAAGCTTCAAATATCAAGCGGAATCTATCAAATGGGTTTCATTCCAGCAGGAAAAATGGATTGACACCAATTTCAGAAGGAAGAGGAAGAAAAAGAATTGCAAGATCATGAATGTGAATGCTACCATGAGGGACCATTCACAAGGGCTATAAAGGAGCTGAGTATAATCGTTTGATAATGAAGGGTATACCATGCAAACGTTCTCCCACCCAAATGTTCACTAAAAAGCCATGTGAGAATACTCGTTGAATCCACACCTAGAACAGTAAACAGGCATGTAAATAAGTAATCATCTACCAATAAGATCAAGTATTTGTGTTGAGATAATTTGGGACAACGCATCCAATCCCAAATAAAATATAAACAGTACAGGCAGCATTTATACTCCACTCACGGGTCGTAAGCTATCATAAATTAATTAACCAAAAACCGAACAGGTGCATTCATCGAAACACCGCACATTGCATTCGCAAAACACTTTGTGAATATACTCACAATTTATTCAGTATTTTTCTGACTCTAATTAATTTTGGCTGATCACTGCTTCAGGCTTGCTTTGAACCCTAGAGTGTGGTGTTCAAACTTTGCTGGTTTGCTACTTCACCGTCAATCAATTGAATAACAAGCCTATTCCCAGTGGGGTTTCAACTGGTTCAACCCGGCAAATTTCAAAGCTTGATTGACCCGTTTTATGAGTGAACATGATGGTGTATGGTGAAAAAACTCATGCGAATTAAAATTAAACCCTGACAATTCAATTTCGAATCACCGAGTTCCCTTAATTCATTTCATTAATACAGGGCTAAGTAAGGTTTCAGGCCGCAATGACTAAAAGACAAGCATCACCGGGGAGGTTTCATCACACAATTATGTGAGGAACAGTGGAACGTATGCACCCCCAAGTCAAGAGGACATGCAGTTCATTCATGATAACTGGCTACCCACGGGGTGGGATTCGGAATAGCGAATGGCATAAGGGATCACTAAGATAGATATGGCATTGAACCGGATGACAGAGAAGGTCCATACATCAACGAACTATTCAAAAGATTTAAGTCAGTCACTTTTACAACAGCCACCCCGATTATTCAAAAACTGTCCCAGTCGCTATCAAGCCATTTTCCTGGAAATTTCTTTATTTGGTAATATAACCCGCAGAGATGTTCACTGAGTACTCTCCCTCCGTATTTAGTACATAAAAGTCCCTGAGTTTGTGTTTTCTGTCATAGAACCTTAAGCCGGAACTGCTTTCCTTTATTATTGAAAGATTACTCAAGTTTACCGATTGCCTTGCGAACCAAACAACTAACGTTTTATTTCCGTGCTGTCTAGTTTTTTTTCAAGTAACCATTGTTACGAAAGGGAAATTCTCCCACCAAGAAGAGGGAAGCAAATTATGAGTAATCAATAATATGGATCTCGTCACTTTAGATCCATGAAGGGTTTAAAAAGCCACTCCCTGTGAACCTCTGATCGATTGTGGTTATATTGATTTGAAGCTTGTTCGGAATCTACGAACATCCTAAAATTATATCAATGAACGTGGTATGAATATTTGCGGCAGAAATTAACTGCTACACGTTTTTCATTCAAATCTGCTTGTGTTCAAAGGAATTTTAGTAACCTTTCCGAAGGGTTTTATACTCTTCGACTAGCTACTAAAACCGTCAATCACTGTTATCCTTATTTGTTTCTGCGATTCCGTTCAGGTCTTTGAGGTGAGAATGTCAGTCGCCATTATTTTGTATATTTCACCATGCCTTTTTATCTGAGCATTATCCAACGCCTCGAAAAATTCATTACCATCCTCTTATCATGTTCAGTGTCTCTTGCTCTACTGCAAAACTAATCACTTCTTGATCCTTCCAGATTAAAGTTGCTTCTTTTACTTCACACGTTAGCATTCTTTTCTCACGTTTTAGTGGAATGATCGACTTCCGTGGAAGGCTTTTGCACAAAGATTCCCAGTCTATGTAAAACCACTACCTCTAACAGCTGGACGAGCATTGTTAGCTTAGTTCTTTTAAGGAATAGCAAACGTTTAGAGCATCCTCCCTACTCATGCCAATCGACTTTGTACACCAAAATGCGAAGAGAAAAGAAGGGATGAACGAAAGTCTACTGTTCATAAATGAGGGCCGGAGGCTCAACCCGAAGAACTTGGAATAGCGAACAACATTACTCCAACAGGATAAGTGAGTTTTAGCCCAACAATAATGAACCTGTTTGTAAAATGGGTGGGTCCTGTTAATCAGTCCTAAAGCTTTACACTTGGAATAGCTCAACTACCATATATCACATAATATAATCACCAGACATGATCCTCATGGGATTTATGTCAACCAGGTGAAAGTGGAAGACAGAGAAGCCATTCAGCGACTCACCGTACTAGAAGCAGCGGCAGTGGATAGATTTGTCGAAGGATTTAAATCGCGACGCGTGGGAAACCGAACAGTAAAGAACGTGTTGTCTGTTGCGCTCGAGTGAGGTGAAGAAGCACTGCCACCTGATCCTCCCACTCGACCAGATGAAGGACGCGAATCTTGTTGGTCAGCTTGTGGTTGACTTGCAGTAACACCATCGCCCGTGGGAGACACGTCTATGTTCGTCCCGGGATTGTCCATACAAGGAGGATCACTATCATTGTTACGGTTTGTGGTATGATCGACAGCCACACTTGTGCAGCTACTGGTAGCGTCTACAAGACTTGTAGACGGATTGTCCGATTGACTGC